TTCCAGTAGATGAGGGAAACTGGATGAATATGCTGTGATACTGAGGAGACCCGCTTTATTGTGGGCGTATCTCAGTACATATACTAGTGGCTATGTAGTGAGCTGTAGCCCTGACAATGAGGGGTAACAGCAACAATGTGACAGATTTGGTTCATAGCAGGAATTATTTTTTTTTAAAAGGCATTTGGGGTAAGTGACTTGCCCAGGGTCACACAGCTAGTAAGTGTCAAGTGTTTGGTCTGAGGCAGGATTTGAACTCAGGTCCTCCTGACTTCAGGGCTGGTGCTCTTTCCACTGCGCCACCTAGCTGCACATCATAGCAGGAATTCTTGACCAAAACATGGGTATTTGCAGGTACATGTCTGAGCTCAGGAACCACCTAGGGTTGGTGTGAAACAATTCTAGGATTTTACAGAGGGTGAGTGCAGGGGATTATTGTTATGCCAGGTTTGAGGCACAGCTTGCTTGCTGAGCCTTATCTCTGGAAAACACGGTGTCTCCTAATAGTAAAAAGAGAGGGGTGGTCTTGGCATGGGGATCCTGACATTGCTAATTCTGGACTAGAACTCAGGAAATAGACTAAGGCAGAGGTGGGGAACCTGTGCCCTTGAGGCCATATGTGGTCCTCTAGGTCCTTAAGTTCAGCCCTTTGACTGAATCAAAACTTATTTGTTCTGTAAAACTTGGGCTTAGTCAAAAGGCTTTACCCAGGGATCTAAAAGGCCATATGTGGCCTCGAGGCCCCAGCTTCCCCACCTCTAGACTAGGGCTGCCATGAGTTTAACTAATATCTCTGTGCAGATTACTCACAGATCTATATGTCCAGCCCTTGTCTCTACCTTAAGTTTTAGTCCCATATCACCAATTGCCTCTTGGATATTTCAGCCCAGATGTCCCAGAGACATCTTAAACTCATTGTGTATAAAACTGAAATTCCTTTTCCTGTGCTTTTCCAAACTTTTTAATTTCTGTTGATGGTACCATCATCTTTCCAGTCTCCCAGATTCATAATTATGCTTATGCCAGGTGAGTCAAACAACCCACAACCTCAGCCACCATCTTCACTTAGACTTCGATGGAGATGGTCCAGGACCTTTAATCTGAGACCTTTGGGTACCCCCCAGACCACCAACCTTGCTTCCATCCCAGCCCTTGCTTCCACTAGCAACAACTACTGATTTACTGCCATCAACAGGAAGGTAATAAGTACAAGAGCCTCCTGAAAGTGTATCAGGAGAGTCTTCTTTCCCTACCTCCTAAGGCTTCTGGTCCTACTTGCAAGTCCAAATTCATGGCTTCAAGTACACCCTTATTTTTCTGATCTAATTTGTAGATAGAAATGCTCATTTTATTTGCATTTTTCAGAATTTTTGAAGAGAACAAAACATTACTAACAGTGGTTCAGTATTGAAATCTTCCAGTTCTTTTAGGACTCAGAGATGTTGTTCATCTGAGTCAAAAGACTTGAATTCATCAAGGACAGCTAGGTGTTCTCTTATTGTTTCCTTACTATCTTGTGTTTTAATCCCTGCTTAGTAATTTTGTTCTGCCATCTTCCAATATAAAGGTTATTCTGTGTTTCAGAGAAAACAGAAATAAATAAAAATTCAGCAGCTCTGCATTTTCTCTATTATTAGCTATTATTGTGCCATCTACTCCAAGCAAAAATCCCTTTATCCTGCTTTTTCTTGCAATATAGGTAAAAACAAACAAAATCCTTTCTGTTATCCTTAGCTTCCTTCACTAGTCTTAGCTCATTCTGGACTTGAGCATTCCTGGCATGATTTTTCCTGTTCAATGCCATGTTCTTATATTCATCTTCTATTGCCTGCCTGTACTTCCACTTTTTACATATTTCTTTTTAAAAATCTAAGTTGTTAGGTGAATTCTTTATGCATCTACATTGGTCTCTTCAGACAAATATTTTTTTTCCTTCTCATTGGACTGTATTCCCTTTGTATCTTCAGAATTTTATTCTTTAACATCTCCCATTTCTCTTAGGCTGACATTTTACTCCGTGGTGTCCTTTTTGTACAGACCATTTCTAAACCATGCCACCTGTACTCTAACCATCCTTATCCCCATCTGATCATTTGTAATAGGTGAACTTTCACCACATCTGGCCCAGAACTAGACCTCCACTTCAATTCCTGGCCATTTTCAAACTTGCCTCCTTACCTTCCTCTCATCCACTTTCCCTGCTCCCTCCCCCCACGTCCCAGGACCTCCTTATGTATTGTCTTCCTTTGTTAGAAAAGAAGCTTCTTGAGTTCTTGGCACTGCATTGCTTTCTGGAATTTGTATCCCCAGCTCTTCACACAGTGCCTGGCTCATAATGAGCAATTAATAAATGCTTTTTCTTTCTTTCTTTTTTTTTCATAGACATGCAAAACACATTTCCATATTATCCATGTTCCCAGGGAGAAAAACAAAAAGAAGTAGAAAATATGCTTCATTCTGCACTCTGAATCCTTCAGTTCTCGAGTCCTTTGGAATTGTTGTTAGTCATTGTGTTGGTCAGTTACTAAGTCTTTCATAGTTGATTATCTTTATAATACTGCTGTTACTATATAAATTATTCTGGTTTTGCTCCCTTCACTTTGCATTGGTTCATACAGTTCTTCCCAGGTTTCCTGAAACCATCCTCTTCATCATTTCTTACAGCATAATAGTATTTCATCACATTCATATGCTATAACATTTCAGCCATTCCCTAGTTGATGGGCATCCTCTCAGTTTCCAGATTCTTTGCCACCATAGAAAGAGCTGCTATAAATATCTTGTACCTATGGTACTTTTCTTCTTTTATCTCTTTGGGGTATAGAGCTAGTAGCAGTATTGTTGGATCAAAGGGTATGTACAGTTTTAATAGCTTTTTGGGTATAGTTCCAAATTGTTTCCATAGTGGTTGGACTAGTTCACAGCTTCATTAACAGTACATTAGTGTACCTGTTTCCCCACCTCTCCAGCATTTGTCATCGTCCTTTTTTGTTAACTTGGCTAATCTGATGGGTGTAAAGTAACACCTCTGAGTAGTTTCATTGTCATTTCTGTTATTATTACTGATTTAGAGCATTTTTCATATGGCTATTGATAGCTTTGATTTCTTCCTCTGAAAACTGCTTTACCTTTTTCATCGTTGTTCATTTAGGGAAAATAAATAGTTTTTTATTTATTCATCCTACCTATTTTTCCTCTGAGCCCTTTGAAAATCTGCTTTCCCCAGATCTGTCACACTGTGCTCAGATTTCTTCTTATTGTCTATCATAAACTCTAGGATAGAGTGGTTATTTCTTTCAAGTTTCCCATAATTTCTAGCCCAGCAAGTAGTAAGTTTAGGCACAATTCTTGACCTTAATGCAATTCAGTTCAACTTAACCAATATTCATTATTAGCATATTAACATTCTTTAATGTTCATCCCCCCCCCACCCCAGCAACATTAACGTGAACCAAGACTATTGCCCCAGGAACTTTCAATCCAAGACTTAGCTTTTGTCTATGTATGAAGGTGACATTTGAGGCCCACCTCAATTGAAAGAGGCTAGAATAAACTGGTTAAAAGTCCATCTGCTTATCTTGTGCTAAATGGAATTAGTTTTTTTTTATATTGGTTAGGGAAAATAAGTTCTTGGTTTTAGATAAGCACTGGCAAATCTGCATGTCTTCATGATCATGTCAAGCAGTCATAAACCTTGGAAGTACTAGCAACTGTTGGCAACTCCTAGGATCCTTATTCATAATTTCTATTCTTACAGTAATGTAAGAGTTATATAACAATACAAAATAATCACATGATAAACTTCACAAAACCAGCATATGATTATATTGTGGCATACGAATGGTAGCGACATTAAGTGCTAGGGGAATTTTGAGGAGGAAGAGATCACTATGGTCCAGTCAGGGAATGAGGTTGAATGCAATAGTTACATTCAGGGGTGTGCTAATAATATTTTAACAACTGGCTCTCTAAAGGGGGAAAATATATATATATATATATATGCATATAACACTTTTAAATTGAATCTGCATTATTAACATTTGTCTTTCCCTCTGTTAAATCTAGAAAATCAACAAAACTTGCCAGTTTCTCAGGTATAAATACTCATACTGAAAATTTAACTATCAGCTATAGGAGTTAGTATGAGCTGACTCCAGCATACTCCTGACATTTGTCACATACTATGGCTATAAGAAGAGGGTCAAGTTTAGTTGGAAATTAAAGTCACTTTTAACTCTCATATTGATCTGATTGACCCCCATCTCTTTCAAGGCCCTATATAATTGGGTTTAATATTAAACTATTATTCCTAATCAGTTATTCATCATTCATTTATCTCCTTCCTATCATGTATTTTTCCTTGGGTTGGATTCTTTTCAACCCAGGTTTGGTAAACAGTAGTAATTATCATAAAACTTTCAAAGTAGAAATATGTTAGCCAGTGCCTTATTGTAATGTTTTCCTTAGATCCATAAGGTCTTTTTTTAATGACACAACCTAAAGTCTAGCTAGCATAATTTTCACACCCTTGACCCCACATATTGAAATGATCTATTAATCTCCATAACTGTTTATATCTACCTCATTTTTGTGCAGTAAGTGCATGCCTCAGTTTTCTATAAATCAGATAGTATTTAAATGCATTGGTATGGGCGTTGGTGGTGGCAAATTATTAAAAAGATCCTTTTGAAAAGGAAAAAAACCTAATGGTAATGAGAATAATGATATTAACATATACTATTCGTATAGTGCTTTATGGCTCAAAAATACTTTATATACTCTTCTCTAGCTTGCTAGGCAGCTGGGTGGTACAGGAGATGGGGCACTGACCCTAGAGTCAGGAGGACCTAAGTTCAAATCTAGCCTCTGACACTAGCTATGTAACCCTGTGTTTCCCTCAGTTACTTATCTGTATAGTGAACTGGGGAAGGAAATGGCAAACCACTCTACTATCTTTGCCAATAAAATCCCAAATGGGGCCACTGAGAGTCAGACACAACTGAAACTCAACAACCAGCTTTATAATGCAACTTGTAAGAAAGTGTATTGACACATTTTGTTTTGATGCACACTTGCCAACAAGCACTTAGACCTCCCCCTTATACAAAATATACTTCTCTTGCCCTCCTTCAAAGCACTGTAATAGAAATTGTTAACAGAAAGTAAAGACGTGTCCTTTAATATTTGTCTCTTGGCTATGCTTCTGATTCCATAGGCTTAGACACCATGATTCAGCTACCTTTTCATTCTGGAATATCCTTGGTCCTCTTTACCCATTGGTGAATTCCTTTTAGGACCTCTAATTTGGGGATGGACCCAAGCCAGCCTTGCTTTATTCCCCTTCCACCAGTGCTTCTGACTCTATGGACTTTGCTGCCATGATACAGCTGCCTTCTCACCCTGTTACTTCTCTCAGTGTCTGAGACCTTCTCGCCTTGGAATATCCCTCCTGTTGCCAGCCCTTTTCTCCCTTTTGTATGTTGTCTTTCTCCATGAGAATATCAACTCCTTGAGGGCAGGGACAACTTTTCTTTCTTTTCGTTTCTTCTTTTTTTTTCATAAGCAGCATTTATTATTTAAGTTGAAGAAGAAGTTATAAAGGGGGTGGAGGGCACATTTATAACAGAGTCCAAGTTGGAGCCCTAGGGGAGAGAGAAGAGGGGAGGAGACAGGGAGACGAAACTTTCTCCTCTGTGACTGCTCTAGATGGGGTTGATCCTGATTTCTGAGCCTTGGTCCAGGGCACACAGTGAAGCACATGACAAGATGAGGTTCCAGGGGCTTCAGGTTTAGGAAACATCAAGGGGTGGCCAGAGTTACACATCCAACCAGAGGTGGGGGCTGGAATTCTCCTTGCGTGAGCAGCATCGCTTCCTTTTAGGAACTGAAGCATAGTGATAAATTTCCATCCCACTCATTTCAGCTTTTATGAAGCATTCTTGTAGTTCAAGCCTTTGTGCTAAAGGATTCTTTCATCGCCTCTCTAACTTGTACATTGCCTCTAGTTTCTTTGAGTAGGCATCCAACTTCTAAGCTGCCTGCTCACGAGCTGCTACTTGCTCCTCAGTTAAAGTGACCTGATCCAGAGAAGGCTGAAGTGCTGCAGATTTCTGGTTTAAGTCCTTAAGTTTCTACTTACGTTTACTGCAATGTCTTTCATTTCCAGATACTTCAAGCTAGTCAGTTTGCTCATATTTTCCAGAAGTTTATAGTTTTCACTGGTGGCTGTCAGCTCATCTGTCAGGTATTTGGCCATTTTGGAGAACGTGTCCTGGCACAGCCTGGGCTCCGTGGCCTCCTTGGCTGTCTCCACCACGGCATCGTCTAGGGTGGGGAAGGGAAGAAGGAGAAAGGATCGAGGGAAGGATGGGGATGGGGGGAAAGAGGGGGAAAAAAAGGGAAGAGTGAGAAGTTGGAGGAGGTAAGGGGAGGAGGTGAGGAGACAAATTTTCATTTCAATTATATGTGTATCTCCAGCACTTAGCACAGAACCCAGTAAGCACTTATTCCCTGCTTGATTGCCTTTGTTAACATTAGTAACAACATTGACTGTTGTACTTGACCGTAATTTTGTTGATGTTCAATGGTGACTTTATTTACATTGCTGTATATTGTACATTGTGTATGATTTTGAATAAGAAATGCTTTGTTATTGTTTATTCTTTTGCCTGTTTCTTCTTCACCAAAAATCATTCCTATAAGTTTTCCTATATTTATCTTAATTCTTCATATGAATCATTCCCTGCAATTCTGTTGCATTCATAATACACAATTTCTTCAGTCATTCTCTAGGCATTAGGCACAATGATTTTGTTCTCCGGTTTTGTTTTTCTCACTTCTACTCCCCTCTCCTGCAAATAATGCATCTATGAATATTTTTGCTTATGTGAGTCTTTTTTTCTTATTTTTTGGTTAGAAGTAACCTTCAATTATAGCCCCAGATTAATTTAACAAGTAGTTTTTGAGTAATTACTGTGTTCCAGGCACTATGCTCAGGTACTACAGATACAAAAATACGTGGGAAAAAAAAAAGACAAGTGAGGAGGTAATGGGGGTGAGGGGAAGGGCCAAGCTGAGTATTGACGTGTATACAGATAAATAAATACAATTTATATATGTCAAGTTCGGTCATGTGTTAGGTCCTGGGAATATGAAGAAGATGAAAACACCTGGTTTTCAGGGAGTTCACAGTCTAGTGGACAAGATAACATATAATTAACTGTGCACAAACAAGATATATATAAGATAAATTGGAAACTTTTCTTAGAAGGAAAGCAGTAACATTAAGGGTGATTTAAAAAAAAACAAAACCAAACCTTATTGAGGAAGGGTTTTAGCTGGGACCTAAAGGAAGCCAGGAGGCAGAGATTAGGAGGGAGAGAATTCTTGACTTGGAGGACAACCAATAAAAATGTCTAGTATAGGGAGATATTAATGTCTTATATGAATAACATCAAGGAGGTGGGAAATTGGAAGGTGTAAGAAACCTGGAAAGGTGGGAAGGTGCCAGGTCATGAAGGACTTTAAAAGCCAAACAGAGGATTTTACATTTGATCCTGTATATAATAGAAGTCACTAGAGCTGATCGAATTGGGGCCAGAGTGAGTAACATAGATTTTCGCTTCAGGGAGATCAATTTGATAGCTAATTGGAAGATAGCACTTTACCCTCTTCTAATAGATCTGGACAGTTTTATTTGTGATTTAATAAAATGTAATGTTCAGCCTTTTTTTAAAAAAAAATACAGTTTTCAGGGAGTCTAATGATTTTCAGATGATCTTTCCTTGACCTGTTTTATAGGTCAGTTGTTGTTTTTGTTTTTCTTTTTTATATAACAGTTTTCTTATATTTTCTTCTATTTTTCAATCTTTTGGTTTTATTCTAATATTTCATGTCATCTCATGGAGTCACTGATTTTTTTCTTGTTCTTATTTTCATGGAATATATTGTTTGGCTAAAATTTACCAATTTCTGTTCTAAGCTATTTATTTTCATCATTCTTTCCTTCAGAGCATTTTTTTTAATTTTTAGAATTCCTTATTTCATTTTTAGATACTTATAATCTTTGCAGGAAAAAAATATTTTTCCCTTTGAGTCTCTGCTGGCAGTTATATAGAGTCCTTTTCTCCTACCCTAACATCTCCGTATCTATTGTAGTTTTTCATAGTGGTTTCTGTCTTCCTTTCTGCCTATGTATCTCTCCAGTCTTAGATCCTGAATTGGAGCTTGGTGCTAGGGCCAGGATTCCCCCCTTGCTGAGCTTTTGGGTGGGAGGATCAGCCTTACTTGATCTTGACCTCAAGTCACCAGGATTCCTGTGTCTTTGAGATTCAGAGCAATGAATCTCTAGGGCCCTCTCAGGCATTTTAGGATAGAGTACTAAACTGTTGGTGGAGTTGTGAATTGATCCAGTTATTCTGAACAGCAGTATAAAACTGCATACCCTTTGATTCAGCAATACCACTCCTAGGTTGTATCCCAAAGAGATTTTTTAGAAAGGAGAAAGAACCTATTTGTACAAAAATATTTATAGCAGCTTTTTTTTTTTTGTGGTGGCAAAGAATTGGAAATTGAGGGGATCAGTTGAGGAATGGCTAAACAAGTTGTGATATATGATTGTGATGGAGTACTATAGCAGGATGCTTTCAGAAAAACCTGGAAAGACTAACATGAACTGATGCAAAATAAAATGAGCAGAACCAGGAGAACACAGTAATAGCAATATTATATGACCCACTGTGAATGATTTAGCTAGCTATTCTCAGCATTGAGGCAGTTCTGAAGGACTTCTGATGAAAAAATGCTGTCTGCTTCCAGAGAAAGAACTGATGGGGTCTGAATGCAGATTGAAGCATACTTTTTTCTACTTTCTTTATTTTTCTTGGTTTTTTTTTTGGGGGGGTGGTAGTCATGGTCTGTGTTTTCTTTTACAGCATGACTAATATGGAAATATGTTTTGCATCATTACACATGTATAACTTATAGCAATTGCTTGCCTTCTCAGTGAAGGGGAAGGATGAGCATTTGGAACTCAGAATTTTTTTTTTTGGGTGAGGCAATTGGGGTTAAGTTACTTGCCCAGAGTCACACAGCTAGTGAGTGTTATGTGTCTGAGGCCAGATTTGAAGTCAGGTCCTTCTGAATCCAGGGCCCGTACTCTATCCACTGCACTACCTAGCTGCCCCTGGAACTCAAAATTTTAAAAAACAAATGTTAAAAATTGTTTTTATGTGTAATTGGAAACAAATTATTTTTTTTAAAAAGAGTTCTAAAGATATGGGCCTGGGATGTCCCATTCTGAGAACTGCTACTCCTAGTGGCTTCCAAAGTCCTCTTGGGTTTCTGACTGATCTTGGGACTTCTCAGGGGAGCCCTCTGTTCTTACTACCTCTGAATACAGAGCCTTGTCTAAGAGGCCTTTGGTTATGCTGTGATGCTTTTCTCCTGCTTGTCTAAGTGCAGATGCTGGCTTTGTTGGTACTTCCCTTTCCTATGACATATGGGCTTCTGGCTGACTTTTGGGAAATTCTGAAGTAGATAAAGTCATTTACTATAGTTTTCCATTAGATTTCTTAATCATTCTGTTTTCATTGTTATTTTACTTTGGTTTGTGCATTTCTTAGTGTTTTGAGGTGATCGAGGGAGGAACTGGGCTTAGAAACAATCTCTCATTCACTTACACTGTTTGCCACCTTAATTTAATTCTCTTTATATACTATATCTTACTTGGTGCTTACAATGGCCCTGTGAAGTAGATATATTAAAGTGTCATTATTTTTCTAATTTTACAGTTGGATAAACTGAAGCTCAGGATGTTAAATGGCATGTCCAGGGTCATATAGGTAGGAAATGGCAGGGCTGGAACTCAAATCTATCTTCTGGCATCAAATTTAGGGCTCTTTCCACTATACTACTTTTCTTCTTTAATCTTCCAGAATTCATTTTTTAAAAATTTGTATTTTAGAATATTAAACATCCTTAAGTAAAGGGACATCTGTACACTTAAGTTGGCTTTTTTTTTTTGAGTGGGGTGATAAGGACATTCATAATAAAGCACATAAAATAATAAACAGAGAGCCTATGAATTAACTTTTCCTAAATAAGTGATAAAGTACATGAGTACTTTAACCCATCCTTATGGAATAATATTATTTCATAATCCTTGAAGTTGTTGCTATGTAACTTCTTTAACTTCCATTTTTAGAACTAATCACCATTCCAGATGAGGATAAGTAGTGAGCCAGACATAGGGCCAAATGTGGCTGTGCTGTCATGCTATATTATAAATCAGTAACCCTTTATTAATACTTGAAATATCTTTTAGGAAGAAAGAGCTGATGGCACTGTGCGGAGGATGGACGTTGTTTCCATTGCCTTTCTGCAGTTTTGTTTGTATTTTTCTGAAGACTTTGAGAAGTAGCAGTTATACCTCTTTTCCTCGGAGATACTCTATCTACCGAACTTCCAGAAACATCTTGGGCCCAGAAGTACAAACCTTCCTGGAGGAGAACACTGAAGTGACCAACAGTGGAAACCTTACCCCAGAAATCCAGCTGCGGCTTTTGACACCTCGATGTAGATTCTGGTGGGAAAGAGCTGACTTATGGCCCTATGGTGATCCCTACTGGGCAATCTACTGGCCAGGAGGCCAGGCTCTAAGCAGGTACTTAACTAGATAGAATTTGGCACAAGGTCTCATAGGACCCTATAAATCTGCTACAGAGAGACAGTAATTGTCAGTGGTTTCCCATTGAATTTAAGTTCATATTTCTTAAACAACCTTTTCACCTTAAGTAAGTCATTTCACCTCTCCCACTACAGTATGAGAGGACTAGCACCTCTGGTGTGAGGGCTTTCCAAGCCCTTTTCAGGGCTTGGTGTCCAACTGTTCAACTGTCACCCAACTCTCACCTGTGGCTCCAAGAAGTTGTAACATACACAGTGACCACAGCCCAGTAAAACTGTTTTGGCAGATGGGCTAAACTAGGTTAAGAGTAACTAACAGCCTTATACCTGTCAGTGAGTTAGGGGCAGGTCTATCCCAAGCATGTGAAGACTTCCCTGAGCACAATGGGTAGATGAGAACAGTTTGTTCCAGCAGCCATGAAAGCAGATGAAGCAGACACTGTGGAGTGCTTAGAGCTTGGTCAGACATTAAAGACGCCAAGGTCATCCACTACATCCCAGGCCATCACCCAGTCATCTTGACTTTTGTCTTGCCACTGGACTTTGATGACTCTGGAAGAGAGAATGAGGCTGATGCCTTTGTGCAGCTCTGCCTCATTTAAATTCAGTTCACACACAAGTCAAGACATACCCTATGA